TTTTTCCTTTTTTGAATATAGAAAGCAAATGGCCATTGATCAGAACATAGCCAATGAATCCCACAAACAGAAATTCCATACATATAGGTACAATTATCACCTTGTATATTTATAAATAGGCTTAGCTATGTAATTGATGATTATTGAATACAATTTCAGTATTATTCCCACTCTTGATTTCTTCTTCCTCATTCCTTTCTCAAATTTCTTCCTAATTTCTCTTCTAAATCTCTTCCCTTCCTCTTCTTTTTCTTCTCTCTTTAGTTCTACATCACCTTAATTCTTTTCTTAATAAGAAGTATAATAATTTGGCTAGCAAATAGATAATCAGATAAATGTGAAGAAACCCAATAGATTAAAACCCTTTTCTCACAAAAAAAATATGAACAAATGCACAGGTTTTACCTGTAATATACCAAAAGCAGCACCTTTGACAACCTCCATTATTGGGCGTACATCCATGCCCTTTGGAGACAACAATTTCTTTCTCCGAGCCCTTCCTCTAAGCGTCTATATTTCATTTCGCATGACAGTTTCTTTCATAATGAGAAATCTACAATTCAAAAGATTTTACTGCAACCACACACACATAACACCAAATTAAAAAAAGAAAAATAAAACCTTTAAAAATGAGAGAAAGATTATGGATCTAAGACATAAAGGAGCGTACTTGCAGAATTGTCCCTTGAAAAACGTCATCAACAGAAAAAAGCACAACAATAAGAGGGTATTGTATAAAAAAGCACAAAATTCAAACAGTTTAAGAAAATAACAACAACACCAACAAAACCCAAAATCAGAAATCAAAAGCAAGAGTCGTAGCGGCAGTGTTGTCACTAGTTCCAGTGGTAGTACGTTTTCTGGTGATGGCGGCGGGTTTAGGAGCGCAAAGAAGGAATGTGGAGGAGATTTTGTGGGAGCAGAAATCCCTAAGAGTGGGTGGTGGAGGAGACGATGGCAGTACTGGAAGTTTTGCTGTTGCAAGAAGAAAAAAACATCGAGAAGGGAAGCACTTTTTACGGAAAGGCAAAGCTTTCCAGATGGGTAGGAAAAAAACGAAAAAACCCACACAAAAGCGAAGAAACAAAAGAGAGAGCAAGGGCAAAAGCGTCATAACACTATTTCAAAAACAGTAAACTGAGTGTGGATGAACAGTGCATAACGGGTTTCCTTTAGAATAGATAATAATATGTAGTAGAATTGGGGTGAACCGCAGTTGTTATGCGCGGTTTGAGCAGTTATTTTTTGTGGCAGTTTTTGAAAAGTCCAATCTATAACCGTCCAAGTTTTAGGCGGATTGGACGGTTTTTTAGACTTGGGCGGTTTTCAGATGGGTGTGTTGGACGTTGTTTGGCAGTATGGAATGTATTTTGGCCTGTTCATTTCGCTGATTCGAGTTTAGAATTTAAGTTTTTTATAGTAAAAAGCTCTCATAAACAGTCACATCTAACTTTTTTGCTACAGTAAAAAACTCTCACACAACATCATATCTCAACTCAAATTAAAAATTCAAATTAACGAACCGAATGGGCCTTTTATCTTTTTTTAACTATTAGATTTGAAATTAAACTTGTGTACACTTTATGCTTATATATATATTATATTGTATAGGCGTTTAAATTCATATTTATAGATTCAAAAAAGGACAACTGAATATAATAAAAAGTTATGAACATGTTCCTAAAACTGCTTATCTAAACATGAGGTTATAAAAATTTTGAAAACGTGACGTTGTTAACTAATTACTAAAGATTATAAAGCATTAGTAATTATTTGAAATCTTTTTTTTTTTTTTTTTTGGTAAGAATTTGAAATCACTTGTTGACATAAGAGTGTTGAAGCTTACACTGTGCAAGGCATGCAGAAAAACACATATACAAATACACATGCAAGAGCACACATGTAGATAAATAGTATATTAAAGCTAATAAAATGAAATTAATCGTGTTGTATAAAGCACAAGTTTCTAAAAAGAGATATTCAAATAAAAAACTCACAAAATGTTAAACCAAGCAACAAGTCAACATTCACCATATAAACTCACATTAAAAAGATTGTATACCTATATAGGTGCGCGGCGCGATTTCAATCCGAACAAAAATACGCAAATCACAATTACTTGTTTATGAGGACGGATTACAACCGCATTGCTCAAAAGTAGGCAGATTATAACGCGGTCCTGCTCATGTCCGGGTGGGGCGGGGCGGGGCAAATTGAGCAGGTAGAGCTATTTATAGTTTTATTTGTGGGCCCCTAAAGAACTTAAACAAAATGTATAAAGTAAAAATATAATATTTTAATCACAATATCTTTTATCACTTTTAATCGTGATAATTTTATGACTAAATAATTAATTTATAATCATAATCTTGTGATTAATATCATCAAATCACAAATATTTATTGGGGTTTAGTTTTATTTGTTGCTCCAATATTTATCTATCGATCAGTATTATTGTTTTAACCACATCATATTAATTCAATAGTTATAATGAATTTGATAGTTGACCAATATGGCAATTAATGAGCCAAAATTCTTATCACACTATGTGATCGAATTTCTATAATAAATAACCACTAATGGAAATATAACTATTAAAATCTGTTCATATTTATTGTAATTAAGTTTTTAACCACGTTACAGAAATAATTTTTAGCCACGTTTAGAAGTTTTGTATTAACATAAAAATACGAATTTTTGGCCAAATAAAAGTATTCCGTAAATTTTTGATAGCCAAAGGTGAAGATTCAGGCCGTTCGGCCTAGAACCGGCGGTCTGAAAAAAGTTTTCGGGCCAATTCTTAAAAGTTAGATGGTTAACTCGGTCCTATAATCTAGCGGACCAAGCTGGTACCCGGTCCAAATTTTGTAAATGGAATATTTAAAAAACTTAGAAAATTGAATTTCAGATTTTGGGTATATAATCTAGGCCTAGCCCGGTCCAAAAATTTGAGACGAATTTTGAATAAAAGCGGTCCGTTTGACTCGGCATAAACTTTCACCGTTGTCGACAACTTTGAGACTTTCACATGCGAACCTCAGAAGTAGTGCTGGAACTTCGGGTCGGCGGGCCGCCCAAAGCCCGAATTTTTTCGGGCTTGGGCGGGCCGGCCCAATTCCTGCCCGCCCAAGCAAGAAATTCGGGTTCAGGCTCGGGCAGCCCGAATTTGACATGTCCCCCCTTCCCCGCCGCTGTCTAACCACCGTATACCGCCGTCCACCGGGATTTTTTTGAATTTTTCAGACCAAGCCCGAACCGCCCGACCCGAAAATTGCCCGAAAATTGGGTGTGCCCGAATTGCCCGACCCGAAGCCTGAATTTTTTGAATTGTTTTGAATTTTGCCCGAATTTTTCCCGCCTGCCCAACCCGCCCGAGGTGCCCGAATTGCCTGAATACCCGAAAACGGCTAGTTTTTTGAATTTTACCCGAATTGCCCGAAATTTCAAATTGTAATATATATATATATATATATAAATTGTAATACTAATATATATATATATATAAATAACTTAATATTAAAAAAAAGTTTAAAAAATTTGAGCAATTCGGGCGGGCTCGGGCCGCCGAATACAAGCCCGCGGCCCGATCAAGATGAAATTCGGGCTGGGGCGGGCGGCCCGAAAATTTCGGGCGGGTCGGGCTCGGGCTCGGGCAAATCCTCGGGCTTTCGGGCGGTTGCGGGCGGCCCGTCCAAAGTTCCAGCACTACTCAGAAGTAATAATCATATTTGACAACGCCAAACTCTGTTCCTTTATCTTATTTAGCAAATTCATACGGTATGGGTGACTTTTACCAATATAAGATAAGATTATTCTTTATGAGTATATAATATAGTAATTGATTGGCAAGGACCTTATCCCATTCGACTGTGGCGACTAATATTGATAACTCAAGATTAACAATCAACTGCTGTAAAAACTTATTAATTAAGTAGTTTTAGGCATTAATTTGATGAATCTGAATTTTTGTTACTTCAACCAGTGGCTAGAGAATCCCATGTGGTAATCGAGACTGTACCTGACGTGAACGTGCTAGATAAGAATAGTACACTTCTTAAGGACTTTCGTGGCTTGTTTGGTTAATGCAATTTAAATTTAAAACAGATTTTAAATATTTTGAAATGTTTTGAAATTTTGATGAGAAAAATAATAGAA